GAAAGAGGGACAGGAGGGGTGGGGGTGGGGAGGGAAGTGTCTGACCTCTTGGGAATTGGTTTTGTGTTATGGATGCTGTTGATGGGAGCTGTTCCCCCTTGCGGAGTTGGCAGAGGTCAGACTCAGCCATCGTCACGCCGCCACGCTGCCCTTGCTCTGTTTGCCATCAGACATGGCCCCTGTGCTCCCACATCTCCTTCTACCAATCCTAGCGCCAACTGTCCCTCCCGGTGTCCCCACGGCTGCACTGCCAGGCCAGCAAATCCATTGTGGTGGTCACACAGACACAGGTCTCCAGTTATTGGAAGGTAACAGGTGACAATTTAGGTTAGAACAGGATTTAGTTCTTCAGTCAGGACAGCTTCTCAGGCATGCTTGCAGGCCCTTTGACCTTCCGCCTCTCTGCTTTAGGTCAATGTTATAAAGCTCTCTTTGTCCAGACATTTATGGTGCCTCCTCTCATGCCAGACTTCCTTCAGGCTTGGGTAAAGGCTCTGGATTTGTAGCTCTGGATTTGTGGGAGAGCATTCCCAGGTCAGGTCTCTCATAACATCAGTTGCTGCTACTTGTCTAGGTCCTAGGCTGACTGTTGTTACATGTCATCAGGTCAACTATGACTCACAGTGACCCTGTGCTGTGGTCAATGGCTCTGAACCCTGCCCTATCCTGAGCCAAGCTCATCATTTCTGACACACCTCACCCCATTTCAGCAGCACTGTGTCGATCCATCTCATTCGACGTTGGCCAAGGAGCTCTGGTGGCGCAGCATTGAATCGCTCTGCTGCTAAGCAGAACGCCACCATTTGGCACCCAGCAGCTGTTCTGTGAGCTTCCGTGGAAATAGGGGCTTTGCAAACCCGACGGGACCGTTTGACTGACTGTTTCTTGAGTTAGAGTCAAGCTCGATGGGAATGAGTTGGGTGTTTGGTTTGCAGGCTGGTTAGCCAGAAGACCCCTGCTGACAGTGTCTGAAACTCACCTAGGCAGGGGTTCTTATGTTGGACATAAAAAGCAGATTTGGGAGTTAAAACTGAGTTACAAAGGGAGGTCTGGTGGCCTAGCGGCAAGAAGCTGCACTGCAATCCCAAAGACACACGGATTGAATCCACCAGATGCTCTGTTGGAGAAGGAGGGGCAGTCTCCTCCTGTGCCAGTTGGATCTGATTTGAAGATACACAGCAAGAAAAAAAAAAACAACCAAACACAAAAAAAACCTTGAGTTACAGGCAGGTTCTCACACCTGCTGCTTGGAGATTCAGGTTCAAGTGTGAGGCCCAAGGATCTGTTTCTACCCAGGTTTCTTGTAAGACACTGTGAATAACCTGAGAGGTAGTCTTCCTTCCAGACTGGTCACAGCATCAGGAGGGAGTCAGGGCTATTCATACAGCAATTTCAATGTCAGGCGAGATTTGGGGAGCCCCTGAAGGCAGCTTCTGGATATGAAAGTAACGTCTGTGATAGTGACTTTTCAACACCACATCGGCCACATATTCAAGGCTAGAAACCTGTAGCTTTTCTATAAGCTTTGACATTCAAATGATTAGTCTTATTCTATATATAAGTATGACCCTATTTAACCATCATTTTGATTAGTCATGTATGGGCCCACTTGTTGTTGTTTGTTATTATGTGCCGTCGAGTCGCTTGTGACTCATAGCGACCCTATGTACAACAGCCCTAAACTCTGCTCTGTCCTGTGTCAGTCACACTGTCTCTGACACTCCCATCCCGATTATCCCAGTCACTGAATCAATCCACCTCATAGAGGGCCTTCCCCTCCTGCGCCATCCCTCCACCCTCCCAAGCATGATGTCCTTCTCCAAGGACCGGTCTCTCCTCACAACATGGCCAAAGTATGTTAGACGGAGCCTCAGAATCCTTACCTCCAAGGAGCCACCCGGTTTAACCCTCCCAGGACAAATCTGTTTGTTTTCCTAGCAGTCCATGGTATTCTCAGTACTCTTCTCCAGCACCACAGCTCAAAGGCATCAATTCTCCTTCTATCCTCCTTGGTCATTGTCCAATTTTCTGATGCATAACAAGTGATTGGGCCCACTTATACACTGAAATTCCCTCAAACAATTTAAACTGCATTTATAAATGTCAAGATCTGATTTTGTTTAACACTTCAGTTGTCTGACATCCACTTCCTAAACAATATGCCTCTGGACATTCTACGAACTTTGATAAATGTCGATAGTTGTAGAGGGATTTCAGGCCTTTTGTTCAGAGGGTCGCTATGAGTCATGCTCGACCCAAAGGCAATCACTATCAACAACAATTGCAATGTATACATTTCTCTTAAATTTATGTTTTCTTAAATATTCCAATTGTGATCACAAACATCTAAGAAAAAACATCTTGTCTTTCAACTTAAAATCATTATCTAAATCAAATGCTCAACCACATGCTCTATGGTGGAATCAAATTGATCTGTCAGGTATTCAGACTAAGTTCCCTTACAATCCATAAAATATAAGCCCATAGCTTATCCAGATAGCACAGAAATATTCATGCTCTGTTCAATCAAACAAAACATTGTTAGTTCAGGGGTTAAACAGCTGACTGCGAACAAGAGTTCAAACCCGTCAGTCATGCTGCAGGACAAAGGTGCGAGTGGCAGTTCTGTAGAGATCACAGGCGTGGGAGTCTCCGGGGCAGCTCTCCTCTGACCTCGAGGCCTAGTGGAGCGAGAGAGTCACGAGTTTGGCTTTGTTTACCCCCACCCCCGACGGATAAAAGAACTGTTGATATTTTCTTAAAAGATAGAGCTGGGTTTTCATTCAGGCAGCAAAGATTTTAATCTCTTGATCCTTGGAGTTGTCCGAGCTGGTCTCAGAGGACACAGAGTCCCTGGCTTCTAGCCACCAGGCTTCTGTCTCAGCTACAGCCTCCTTCCCAGGCCCCATCTCAGGTGCAAGTGGCCCTGCCCAAGTGTGGATTTCCCTTCTAGACACACATCCCCATCACACAGCATGGAGTGGAACTGCCCCAGAGGGTGCTGGAGGGTGCCATCTTTATGGTAGACTGTCTTCTTTGTCTCATGAAGCAACTGGTGGGTTTGATCCACTGACCTTTCTGTTAGCAGCCCAAATCCACACAACCACTGAACTCTGGGACAGTCCATTCTTTTTTTTTTTAATAAAAATTCTTTATTGAAAATAAGTTTTGTTTTGTATTTTCACACTTCAAGTTGTTTATTCTACTTTATCTCCCTATCATTTTTTAAATGTTTTTAATGAATTATTTTTAATGCAATGTGTGTGTGTTTTATATATATATATAATTTTCTTATTTTTGTGTGTACCGTCAAATCAATCTGACTGGTACAGGAGGAGATTGCCCCTCCTTCTCCAGCAGAGCATCTGGTGGATTTGAACCGCGTGACTCTGAGACTGCAGTGCAGCATCTTGCAGCATCTTGTCACTAGGCCACCAGAGCTCCCTGCAATGTATATATTTTTTACAGCATATTCTTTGCATTGAATTTCCCCCCATACATTCATTGTTGCACATTTTCCTCCCTGCCTACCCCTCCCCTCCAGTTAGTTTTTCTCTTTGAAGAAAAAAGAAATTCTCTCATCGTTATACAATCTTCCCGCCTCTAGTCCACAGTCCACTTTAATATGCATTTCTTTTTCTGTAACTTACCTTATTGAATGATTCAGGAAACATAAAGGAGTCACTCTGCAAAAATCCTGTGCCAGGAAGTTGGAAGACAGCTGCATGGCCAACTGACTGAAAGAGAGCCCTATCTGTTCCCATTCCCAGGAAAGGTAATCTAACAGAATATAGAAATTATTGTGCAACAGTGAATGAATGAAAACCCAAAATCTCTGTAAATGTTCATTAAAACGAATAAAATTTAATAAAAAAAGGAAATTATTGAACAATATAATGAATATCACGTGCAAGCAAAATACTGCCGAAGATCATCCAAAAACAGGTAGGATAGAATATTGACAGAGGACTACCAGAAGTTCAAGCTGGGTTTAGAAGAGGCCATGGCACCAAGGATATTAGTCTTGATGTCAGATGGATCTTGGCTGAAAGTGGAGGATACCAGAAGAACATCTATTTGTGTTTTATTGACCACACAAAAGCATTTGACTGTGTGGATGATAACAAACTATGGCTAACATCAAGAATAGTGGGAATCCCAGAGTCCTTAATTGTTCTTATATGAAACCTACACCTAAACCAGGAGGCTGTTGTCCGAACAGAGCAAGGACATACTTCATGGTTTAAAATCGGGAAAGGAGTACATCAGAGCTGTGTCCTTTCTCCATACCGACTTGATGTGTATGCTGAGCAAATCAATAGAAAAGTTGGACTTTACAAACAAGAGTGGGTCATCAGGACTGGAGGGAGGCTTATCAACAACGTGAGTTATGCTGATGATACAACCTTGCTCTGAAAATGAGGGTTTAGTCTGCGGCAAATAATTAAGCCTACCGTCCTCTTTTTCTGTGGGGGCAGGTGTGCAATGGCTGCAAACAGCAAATCCTTGGTAGTGTACGCAGCCTGTTGCATGTACAGGTTGCCCTAAGGAACTTTGGAGACAACTCTTGGAAAAAAAACATAGCTCTGGCCTATGTCTCAGAACTTTTAATAAACACTGCAGTTTAATTCTTAGTTATCTAAATCTTGAATAACTGCATGTAAATTTTT